TTTTATCCCTTTCCTCTTTCCTTCCTCTAAGGCTTTTCCCCTTCCCCATTTACAAAAGCTCTGCTGTATTTCCATTTTTTAAATTATTTTTTCCTTTAAATCTCCTTTCCCGGGGCTGGGGATTTAGCTTAGCGGCAAAAGTGCCTGCCTGGCAAGTGCAAGGTCGTGAGTTCAGTTCCCGGTACCGGAGAAAAACCAAAAAAAAAAAAAAAAAAAAAAAAAAAAAAAAAATCTCCTTTCCCTTCCTTCCCTCCTTCCTCACTTCCTATCTCTTGTTCCCCTTCTCATGTGAACAAGTTCTTCCTACCTGCTAATATCTATCCTCTTATTTTGCTCATTTTTTTATACTTTGCATACCTCACAAAAGAGAGACAATGTAATATTTACACTTATGTATTTGATTTATTTTATTTAGAATTATGTTCTTAAAGTGCATTCACTTACCTAAAAATGTCTCAGGTTTATCTTTATGGTAGAGTATATAATGAAATGTATACATTTCCTTTGTTGGTTTTTCTGTTGGTGGTATATGTGCTGTGTACAAGATTTAGCCATTATAAATTGTGCTACTATAACATGAGTACGTATCCATCACTGTGCTGTGATGATTTTAACTCTTTTTGGAAGATATCTAGAAGGAAAATAGCTGGATCAAATGGAACCTCTATTTTTAGTTTTATGAGAAATCTCCTTCTTATTCCCATAGTAATTGTACCAATTTACATTCCCACCAACAATCGAGAAGTGTTCCTTTTTCCCTATAGCCTCACCAGAATTTGTTGTTGGTTGATTTCTTGATGATAGCCATTCTTTCTGGAGTTAGATAGAATCTCGGTGTTAATTTGCATTTTTCCAATGGCCAGTGATGTTGAGCATTTTTTCATGCATTTATTGGGTACTTATACCTCTTCTGAGAAATGTCTATTTAATTCAGATGCCAATTTTTGGATTGAGTTTTAAATTTGGAGATCTAATTTGTTTGAATTCTTTATATATTCTAGATATTAGTCCTCTAAGAAGTACCTGGCAATGTTTTTCCTATCCTGCAGGATGTAGCTTCACTCTACAGATGGTTTCATGTGCTATGCTGAAGCTTTTCAACTTGATGTGATCCTATTTACTGATTCTTTTAATATTTCCTGTGCAATCAAGTTTTTATCCATAAAATCTTTGTTTACACCTATGCCTGCAAAAATTTTACCTATTCTATCTTCTAGCAGATTGTTTTAATATTTACATCTTTGATCCATTTTTAGTTATATTAATGTGACCAAATATCTATTCATGAATTATTCATATATAAATATAAAAGTATATAAATACACATATCTATCTATCTATCTATATATATACATATATATATGAACGAAAGGCCCATAAAAGCCAGTAAGTGTATAGAAATATTAAATAATGAGAAATTGAGAAACTAAAAAGAAAGAGGATACCCAGAGACATGAAAGCTAAAATAAAAAAGTTTTCTTGGGTCAGGCCTTTAACTCCACTTAATCATCATTATGTGGTATTTATAAGCATACCTCTTGGGGATGTGTGCCATGCTCTAATCAATATGTTAAACAATAGTTGTGCCAGAAATACAGTATCAATTTTTTTCTTTTTTGAAGAGTTAATAATCACCAAAACAGTGCTTGGATTTTCCTCCTAATGACTTAACAATTTAATGTAACATTAAGAAAATAGAATGTTAGACAAGGTGATGGGAAATTAACAGTGGTTACTGTGTTACATCTTAATTTCCTATCATCTTCTTTTTTTTGTTGTTGTTGTTTTTTTTTTAGTTTTTCTCTGGTACCGGGAACCGAACTCACGACCTTGTGCTTGCCAGACAGACGCTTTTGCCGCTGAGCTAAATCCCCAGCCCCTCCTATCATCTTCTTTTAAATTCTGTATTGCTTTTATTGTTTTTGTGTTGTTTTGTTTATGTATGTTTGTTAATATGTTTTCATTATTTTATCTTTAAAATAAAAAAATGATGTTGTCCTCAAATTAATTTTTCAGCTCACCAGCATGTAAAACTGGTCCAAATAATTTAAGCACTAACTGTTCCTTTCAATAAACTGCCAGACATCAGCAGTAAAATTATCCCAACTATCCTTATCTCTCTTTCTCTCTCTCTCTCTATA